TTTTGTTTTGTTTTGTTTTGTTTTGTTTTGTTTTGTTTTGTTTTGTTTTGTTTTGTTTTTTGTTTTGTTTTTGTTTTTTTGACACGCATAAAGCAGACGGCCACTTTTCAGCCGCCTTGGAACAGAGGAAAAATAAACTCTGCTTTTCTGGCAGTAGAAGAGTAGGAAAACACATCACAACTAATTGTCATTTAGGTAGCATAAAATTGGAAAATATATTTTCAAAGACGTAAAATCAACTTTTCAACGATTTTATTTGCAAAGAAGCGTGTGCCACTTTTCGTCCTCCACACTTGGTTATTCTATTTTATCTGAATGAGTCATTTGAACTTAATTGGTAATAAGAAAAGGGGAAGGTTAAGATGTACGAGGAAAAGCATGTGCTGGCACTGTAACGCGTCTGTGTATACTTCACGCAGACCAACTTCGAGTTGAACGCCAGCAATGCCGATCGCTGCATATACTCCCCTTGCCATTCAAGCTGTTGCCTCTACTAAAGCCTTCTTCTATTGCCTGTACAGAATCACCGCGCTGTGCTGTGGCCAATTTGACTTGTAGGTATCCATTTTTAATGATAATTATTTTGTTTCAGGTACATCTATTCCTGTAGCGAAACAAAAAAGTTCCCAACCGAACGCAAAGGCACTGTAAACATATACGTGGAAACCTCTAAAGGGAGGATGACGAAATCTCCAAGTGATAGGTCAAATCCGATTCGATACCCCCAGGGAAAACCCGCAAAATCAGTCAGGGGCTGACAACCCAGTCCACATGCCGACCTTTGAACCTTGGTCACAGAGATCGAGAGGAAAATTCTCACTGCAACAGGTTGACCCCCCTCGAGTAATATGTTTCAAATAAAATGTGACGATTACAAGCACAAAAAAAATCTTGTCATCAGGAATTGCTCATTTAAAACATCTTTGCCTGACGGCTATTTTGAGTTATCAGCCAATCCCTACTCTGGGTTCAACTACGGTCGGAGGTCGTATATACTGCTTGAAACACAATGCCACAAAAACGCCCAACCGCTGACTACAAAACTTATGAGTGACTGGTTCCATCGGACTCTTTAGTTTACCCCACATTTTTAAAGATGAAAATAGGCAGAAATATTTAGGTTAAAAAAGAACATGAAATGCAGCTCAGTTTAAACAAGTATTTATCGGACGGAACCGCCGTTACTGAGTTTTTAATTAACCTTCCCATGAAGATTAGAATTTCGCGTTCTACAGACACATTTGCTACAATGTTTCATTGTGATTGGAATCTTTGAGCCATCATGAAGTGTTTGAGTTCCTCTGCAGGACAGCAGAGCGATTTAAGCACCACATTATTACTGGAGTGTGGAGATCCACGCTGGTATAATACTTCACTGTTAGTCGGTTGATGTCACTGTTTGGCCTCACAGCTCCGTACTATGGTGTACTTATGGTGTACTATTTACGACACACATTTCTCTTTTTCTTTAGCCTCTCCAGGCGACGCGACTACACGATGCGAAGGCACGACGGCTCCCTTGCGTCGTGCCGTCGGGTCGCACCGTCGCCTTCTACAGACACATTTGCTACAATGTTTCACGGTGATTGGAATCTCACATTGTAAGGCTTGCCATTACTTTTGTACACACACGTCGCGTCGTGCCGTCACCCGTCGCGTCGTGCTGCCTTAGGTCCTTTCCATGTTGCATTTTTTGCCGCCAAAACGTCGCCCCTTCAGTCGCCCGTCGCGTCGTGCTGTCGTGCGTTGCGTGGTACGTCGTGTCGTACATTGCGTCGCCTGAAGCACGACGCAACAAGCGACGCGTCGTGTATGTATAAACGTAATGGCAAGAAGGCGGCGGTGCGACACGACGCAAAGGAGCCGTCGTGCCGTCGCGTCGTGTAGTTGCTTCACCTGGAGGGATGCTAATGGTGCATTCCACCAAATGTTTGTATTTCTGCGCGCGAGCTCATTAATATTTTGTTATCCCACGGGGTTTTTACAATAAAACAGGCCATAATCAGGAGGCAGTATAGAAATATTTCTATAAATCTCGAATTTAGGACTGATAGTCTCCATTTCAGGGTATTTCTTTCACAAAAAGCCCGAAATTGCCGACTTATTCTGGATAGAGGCGGGCGGTTACATTCACTGAGAAATGGGCGCTTAGTTTTATTGCTATTTGGGGGCATCCGATGTCTTCGTTCAAAGGCGAATAAAAAAAATTTCGTGGCTAATCCCCATGAAATTGAAACGAAAATGATCTTCTGGCCGTAATGTTGAATTTCCAGTGAAAAAACGGAACCCAACCTCTTCATGAGAGTCAACAGTCGGCGCTATTTCGGTCCGATTTTTCACTGTTTTTTATGGGCGCGTATTTGGTGTAGTGCAACCCTAAAGAGAGAGAGAAATGCTTGTCGTAAATAGTACACCATAGTATGATACCCGACATAAGATATTTTCTGGGCTCGTCAGTTATCTTTAGGTCAGGGAACCAGACTATGTGTTCCTAGGATACGCACTCATCATTGAAATGGTGAGCGTTGTTCGCGTTCAAGTATATTGATTAGTCTACAATCTGCAGATCGTGTTCACAAAGTGTTACTTCGATCTGCACCACTGTTCCTTGAAAAGCCGGCTGATTACGTCGTGTTATCAGTTTGTGTGAGGATCAATAAGGAAAATTGACCGTATAAATTGTCAAGCAGTTTAGATTTCTGGACAAGTCACCCACGAGTTAAATAACACCAGTTCAACTGTAGTTGTGGGCCTATACTAACCCACACGCATCGTAGAACAAGAATTAGGAACTCTTGCATTGTACGGTGCCTCTGCTTCCCGCTGGCTGGGAATAGAGAGGATTTTTATGACTATCACAGAAATGGTTTGTACAAGAGTTTTTTTATGCTAATTGTCAGCTTAAGTTTTGTGTAATGATGTATCTTAGGCTTAGGTCTACCTTACCCCCAGAACTGTGGGGTCCGATGTCTGACCCCTCAGTTCTGGGGTTCGGCCTACCTAGTACCTTTGCCCGCTTGTGGGAGTGCGCAGTCTAGTTCAGGAGGTAGGTCGAGGAGATTATAATAAGAAGGCCTACTATAATGGGCTAGGCTAGGTGCCCTATTTTACCCATGCACCAGGCCCTAGCCTATTCAATTTTCAGAAATTCTCACACTCAACCGTGTTTTATGATAGTCACAAATTGTGCCTAGCTAGACCTGTTTTTTTTTTCTTTTTGGAATATCAGCCCATAAGCCTTATCGCTAATTCTGCAAGAGTGATTTTGCGCTATAAAGGCATCGAGGGAAGGAAAAGAGATAAACATGGCCCCTTTTCCCTCCCCTCAATGCCTTTCCACAGTTGTGCAAAATCAGCCATGGAGCATTAGCGATAAGGGATATTTCATTTGAAATTATTTTCAGGTGGTGTTTTGCATTGAGTCTGATTTCTGGCAAACTTGTGTGATGTTAAGCCTTTGAAATGGTTTTAAAGAAGAGTTTCATATACGGATGCCAGTAATTATTCCCTACAGTGACCTAGTATTAGCTGTCAGAAAGCAAAACCTGTCCAAATGAAGGCCGAGCTATGATTGGCCATTGGAATGGAAGCAAATTGGACCAATTACAGTGCTGCTTTCATTTGTGGATGACAGGAAAAGATAGGAGCTGTGTTGCGATTGGTCAAGCTATCACACAGCTGACAGTTATTGAGAGCACATGCTGCTGATTTTCTGTAGTGTGGATGGGCAAAATGCTCATGAATTCCACCATTTTAATGAGGATATAAGTCCCCATCTGACATCGGACTTCACCAAGAAGGCATGAATGAAATTTGGTCGTACAAATAGCTGTGATGGAAGAGTAAGTTGGCATAATCAAAACAGCCACGATGTGTTTATGGGAGTTCGTACTACGTGTATCTGTAAGGTTTGTATAAACCTTACAGTTCTGGAAGTACCTGTTCCTATAATAAAATGGAGAATCACATTTTAATTTTAGATCCAGGTAATAGGTGGATAACACCCAATCCCTTTAAAATTTTGGTGCACAAACATGTGATGCACAGTCCACAAGTGCAGTACTGTGCTGGCGCAGCAACTGAACATGAACAGTGAGTGTGTTTGGGTAGGCCCAACTCAGATGTTTTGCTGCGGTGACTCTTTCTGTAGTGCCATTCCTAGATTGACAGTTTGATTATTCACAGTGGAATTCAATCCTCACGCAAGTTTAGACTTTTTCCATCCTCCTGATAAGCCGCAAATCACAATAAAAGAAAATATACTGCAGTTTATTGTAGGAATTAATTTAAGAGACAATGATTCTGTGGGATAGAGGAAAACTCTGAAGTGGCCATGATGTGTCTCAAACCATTTCTGAATCTTAATCTACATACCAAACCCACTCTGAACATGAAGTGTTGATTTAGTTACATCATTGCACTCGTTCCATGAACATTTTCAAAGCATATCGCAACCAGATGCCAGTTCATTGAATTGGTTTTCATTAACTGAAAAATGGTTTGAATTAACTGATGGATTAATTGACAAATCAGAACAAATAACTCCCTTAGGTACTGAATGTGAATGCCTTTTTCTCTAAAATTACGGTAACAGGCACCCTTTTTCAAACTTGCAACTCAACGTGTCCGATAGGGAATTCTTCCAATAGGTCTAATAACCAAATAACAGATGAGGGCTAATCTTTTTCCCTATTTAATGGAACGCTGCAGTAATTATCTCCCTAAAAATACCTTTTCTGTGCATGTTTAAACTCATCTTTAATGTGTGAGAACTGTTTGAAATCAGTTAAAGTAAACTGTAAAAAGCACTTTTTTAACATTTAAAATGGATGCACTGTTTTCTCAGTCCAGGAAGACACTGTTAAGTTTGCATGTTTTCATGTTCAAATTTGAGTCCCAGATTTTCTCTTTGAAATCATTTCTGAGAGAAGATTGCTTGCTGGCTTAAATTCAGAAGCATAGTGTAACAGATCTATCAGTGCCTCGCATTACAACATACATGTAGTTTTGTTCATGAATGTTCCATTTACCTTGGCATATTACCAAAAAGGTCCCAAAATATGATATGAAGATATGGGGCGGAGAGCACCCCCCTCCCACCTTTGTGTTGGTCATTGTTTGATTGGAATCTCAGGAATTCTTTACAGACATCTGGGGGATGTGTTACTAGGTAACAATAGTCTAGAGTGTGTATAGGGATTGGACATGGGGGGTTACCCATTGGCCCCATATCGTGCATGGTATTGAATATGAGGTCGATTGAAACACTAAATTGAAACTCAAGGATTTTAGTAAAGTATTCTGTTACATGGTCTCTTTCAACTTACAGGGTGCTTGAAAAGCTGAAACCATGGCAACACCGGGGGACAATAGCCCCAGTAGCCAACAGGCTGGGCCTGCATTGAGTACAGCCTTGAAGGCTGTGGTAGCCTTGTCCTTGAAGACCAGGGACGACGACAAGAAGCTAGAGAAGTACGTCTATATATGAGGTTTATTTTCAACTGTAAACTGATAGACCTATTCGTAGTTGTTTTGTTTGCTTACCAGAGGCAAAAAAATCAGTACAAAAAATAAATGATAGTCCACCAAGCAGTTGCTAAAACTGACGCACAGGTCTTGAAGCACTAAATAATCAGTTTTATTATTACTAGTAAAGGCTCAGAGAAAACATACTGAACTTCTCCTTTTACATGTAGCTTAAATGGGATTTAAACTACCAATTCGTGCACAAAAGAGACACAGTATGCTTGAACACCTCTCAAATCGATTGCTTGAATCCTTAGGCTCATTGATTTTGGTGGCTACATGTCTAAATAATAAATGGGGCAGTTCTCAGCTTCTCAAAGATTCGTATTGACAGCTTTGAACAAAGAAGACAGAAGAATGTTGTTTGTTGCTATTTCTCTGATTTTGGGAATTTGTTCATGCTGAGGTGAAGAGCAAGGAAAACTACATGTGATTGTGTCCAGTGAGTTGTTTTTGAAATTACACTTTGCTGAAACAGATAAAAGGAGTTCATCAATGTTGTATCCGGTGCTAGGAACCTTTTTTATTCTCAACGGAATTCTGGCGTAGTTCACAGGTAGGGATCAGTTTCCTTTTCTCCATTTTATTTTGCCAGAAAGCCATCTAATACCATGGCAACCAGCGGCGGTGTTGTAACCTACGGCGTCAAACTTGAAAGCCGGCTCAACATTAAGGACCTTCAGCACTTGAAGAGGGCGTTTATGGTAAAAAGAAATCAAAGATGAACATTCAAAACCGCACATTGGAACACGTCACACTCTCTGCATTTTTTTTAATGTTAGGTACACCCCTTTTCATTACGCTCTACATATATGTGACCTGCTCTGTTGGAATGAGTCACTGTAAGTTACCTGAGCATGTCTGAGATAAAGACCCTTAAAAGAGTCTGCAGTATAAACGACACACTGTAAAGTATTACAGACCTGTGACAGGTGACCTGTGACCGGTAACCTGTCACCACAAAATGAGCTGAAAGTCGGAATTTTCAAAAATTGAGATATCGGTATTTTTGAGTTCAGCAGAAAAAGAGCTCTCCAATGGCATGTACATGGAACACTTGGGGTAGAAGTATAAGGTGACCATGTAACATTATTCTGGCAGCTTTGCGTCTTTGTTCCTGACGATGTTTCAACATTTCAGACCAGGCATGCATAATGCTATTGTCGAAACTGCTGTGAAAATTACATTTTAACCCTATGATCCTTCGAAATATTTGGAATTAAATAGGAGACGGGTTAGTCTTTCCAAATATTACAAAATCGCCAAATTAACCTCCACTTCAATATGATTTTGAACCTTCAAAATAGGAAAGAGTGGAATTCGACTTTACGCTCATTTTGTCGTGACGGGTCACATTTGTTCCGTACATGTACATCCACACTGAAAAGTCGGCTTGCTCTTTCTGAGGCACACTGAAACAAATCTTTGGAAAAATTGCTTATTGCTCTTTAGACTTTGGAACAGAAGTACTCAAAAAGTACTCATTATTTAAGCGCTTTCCTTAAATCTTTAGCCCTCAAGGTTACTTGGCTCAAAATTTTGAACATCCACTGTCTTTGATATTTCTTTGTGAGTGATTCCATTACCATGTCTACGTGAAAGGCAGCTTTATCCACCCCAAGTCAGCTTAATATCTGGAAGTAAACTTGTTTATTTGGAAAGTGGAACTCTGCATGGGGCTTGCTGGTCGCTTCTTCCATGTTCAACCGCTGTAAATAGATACCTTTATGGGGAAAAGTTTCTAACCGAGCCCTTCCATTTTGAAGGTACATGGAGATGGTTATAATAACAGGCTGAGTGTCGAAAAGGAAGAATTCTGCAATCTGCTGGACCGGATCTTGACCAAAGGGAACCCAGACGAGGTAAGACTGCAGTTATTTGAACTTGATCCCTTTGCTAGCGGCAGGCTGATACCATGGCATCAGCCTGCTGCCAGCAAAGGGACACGGTACATTGGTTTGCACTCGAGAGATGGAGAGTCGGTATGTTGGCCTCGTGCCAAATTCTTCATTATTGGTTCCGTCAAAGCCAGTTTTGTAATTTGCCTCTGGAAGTAAAGATTGCACAGGTTGTGGAGGGCAGGAGAGTTTTGATGTACATGTACCACAAAATGATGGATTGCATGTGTAATGTACTGTGTGAACACGATAATTTTAGTCATGGTAGATCAGCCATGCACAGTACATCACTTACCAGTGCAGTCAACTACAGAAAGATGTTTCATTTTGTAGTAAATCTGGATGGGAAATAGGTTTCGTTGCTCTTTTGTCAATATTTGTTGAGACATGTATGCCTTAAAAATCACTTAAGTGGTAGTTTTCAGACTTGTTTTTTCTGTCTTTGCTGAAAAAAAATGATTTGATAAGTGCATTTAAGTGCATGCATATGTCCATAAAAACAGTGTCCAATGTTGAAGGAATTTCAGAAAAACAGGTTAATGGGAAACAGCCAAATGAGAACGTTGAAACTTTTTATCTGTCTGCACGATTTTTTAACAAAAGTTTATTTGCTGTTCTTTTCTCAAGCCTCCATTCTCTTCCAGGAAAATGGTAAAATATGTCTTTTCAGTAATTGGTGAAACTTTTCACTGCCCACAGCACAGTATGTTTTCTTTGCCATGCTTATTCAAACTCTTCACACTCCTAGGCCTGATGAATAAAACTCTCAAGTTTATAGAGCTGTCATATGTTCAAGTATTTAACATTATTGCTCCATACATGTACAAACTCTGTGTAAGTTAGATCAAATCGCACCTACATGTATGTGAGCCTTCCTCACTGCAAGCACCATTGATGTTATAGCAACCTGTGCAAGGTGGAAATATCTTGGAGCACGAGCATGTTGCATGCACATCTACAAGTTTCCAATCTTCCTACCACGCTTGCTGTGTGATCGTGTACTTTAACGTACTTTGCCATTGCCTTATTGTTTTTCAATAAAGAAATCAACAACACAGGCCAAGAAATTCTCGTCGTGTCACGCCCACTGAACACTTGATTCACAGCACTGGCACTGCAGTCACGAATATTGACTCTGTGAATACTTTTACTTTGAGACTTGCGAGAGTTTAATCTCTTACTATTGTTATGTAAATAGGCATTCACTGTATGAGTTGTTGTGCAGGCCTGGCTTTATTTTGGTTTTAACACATGTAAATTGTACTGTATCGCACTTTTGTCAGTTCTGGTCTCTGGTCTTTCTTTTCTGAGCCTTGAATTCAAAACTCCTTACAATTTCTTTTTACAGTTTCTTGTAGATTGCGCTGCTAATTGTTCATTTGTTTTCTTTTCAGTATGCAGATCTGTTCGATAAGATAGATGTTACCAAGGAAGGCAAAGTTGATTGGGTAAGTCATTTGTTCCTATTTTTGATCATGGATGATCAAACATACCATATAACTTGTTTTATGTGTATGCCCTTCCTCGCTCCAGTTCCGGTTATGGTAAGCCCTGAAGTTTTGGTAAGCTTCTACTGTACTCATTACATGTGATACATCTGGAGCCGTAGGTATAGATGCAACCTGAATGTGTTGTATAGGGAACCTGGACCTTCGTCAAAGAGGGAGGGGACATGTTGCCTTGGATGACAAGATTCACAGGGATGTGGGCTTACCTGCAGCCAATGACTTGTGAGCTTTCATGATTGATAGGAATGATAGGCCACCACTTGACAGAGTACATGTAGTATTATATAGCGAAACACCCAAATGCATGTTCATATTGTTTTCCTTTCTTAGGACAAAATTGCCTCCCATTTACTGCTGGAGTACGTTGAGAAAGATGACCGAGTCAAATCAACTCAGGTAAAAAAGGTCACCAACTTCAAAGTATGGGCACAAGCCATATGCACTTTGAACAGTCTCTACAGGTGTCAATATGTGGACTACACTAAGGAGATATTGTTACTGAAAGGAGCCATACACTCTGATCCCTTGTATGTTAGACGCATGCTTAAAGTTGCAGCCTGGGTCCTCTACATCTCTGGAAGTTGTAAACACTTTAATTGAGTGAGGAGGCATTTAAAGAGCTTGTGACTGGCATGTTAGCATGTTACCACAGCAGTAATGGCTTTCATTTCTTGTTACTATACCAGCTTAGTCTATAGAGACTTGAATTGATGTATGTTTCAATTGTGCTTAATTTGTTCGATGAGACAGGTCCCTCAGTGGAAGGACATCAAGATACTGCCCAGCCCTCACAAGGACGTAGTGCAGAAAGTGGCTTTCCTTAAGAACTCCGGCCGTTACATCGCCATCAGCAAGGAAGGGGGCATATCGACATGGGACACCAGACTTCACCTTATGAAGTCCATCAGGGTCAGTACAGTAGTTGCCTTAATTTTTTCCCCCACGTTTGGTTTATGCTTTCTTGAATTTGCAGTCCATTCTACATTATAGGGCTGTGCTGAATATCCGAATATTTGATCGATTGTCGAATATTCGAATATTATTTTTTGAATTTGAATATTCGAATGCAAAATTCATGAAAAGGAAGGGAAAATTTTGGAGACGGTTTCAAGCAGATTCAAATGAAAAGCATCAGAAATCCTACAACAATTTAAAAAGTAAATTATTCATTAATTTAAAAGAGTAGAAATTTTCAACAGGGTAAGAAGTATTGTTCATGTCTTAAATCTTGCAAAATCGTGGCTGGAGATACTCTTAAATGTGAGAAGCTATTATATTGATCCTAATGTACTATTGTGCGTGTTATTGCAACTGATTTTGTATATGGTATGTTCATCAACAATCTGCCAGTCGGTGCAACCGAATATTCGGATATTCGATCAAAAAGAAGGTCGAATATTCGAATAGTGAATTATTCGAATTGACTCAGCCCTACTACATGACATCTGTAATCTAGTTACATGTAGTAATTTTAACTCTTTTTATGGTTAGTCTATGGTTTCCTTCTGGCCAATTATATATACACGTTCCTCTTTCATGTCTTCATTTTTTTGCATTCACAGATAAACAACGATGCAGTTAAGCCCAGAGATATGTGGGTGACCACTTTTGTTGTATTGCAGAACATCAACAAGATAGCTCTAGCATTCACGAGCAAAGAAATCAGTATGTTGCCCTGTTTCTGGAACTATTTCATTTCAACTTGTGCAGGCACACAGTAGATAGTAGTAAATATGCAATATGTACCCTTGTATCAAGCACAATTGGAGACTTTAAAGTTACTTGGATAAACACTTTGAAGTTTATAAATGATGAATTTTTCTGGGATTTGTGCCATTCGTGATTTTGAAAAGTGACGTGTTTGTCTTTACGGTTTTTATAACTTCAAGCTCTTAAATTCTTTCAATTTCTTTTAAGATCAATTTAACAAACAAGGAATCGATTTTGATCCTTACAAATTGTCCCTTTGTTTTATCAAAGATCCGGCAGTATTCTCTGTCAGAAAAAGAAGAAACTTATCACTTCTTGTAATTTTTTTCCCGCCAAGTTTTCTACGATCTGAGTTCCAAGCTGGAATTCAACTGCCAGTACAGAGTCTATGGCCTGGAGCACACTCCACTTAGCATGGACCACTGGTAAGAAAGAATTTTAAGGCTTTATTCCCAACTACCAAAGGTTACTGAGAAAAAAAGCAAATTGGAACTGAGTTGTGAAGACTCTCCAACATTTTTTGTGTCTGCTGTAACTAACTTGGATGGTCCCCGACAGTAAGAAAGAAGTATGTGTGAAGCTATGAGGGTGTGTGACGCCATTCTGCATACCATTTCCCTGCTGTCCTGATTGTCTGTAAGTCAGGCCTCCATCTGTTCCTTCTTTGTCGGTCACCTGAGCTGTTGCTGGGTTTACTTGGGTTTTGCTTCATTTAGTCCATAACTCTAAGGTTCTTTGAGAGTACACTTACTGAAATGGAAAGTGTGGTAAGATGTCCTTCGTAGCTGTCCCTCCGGATTAGGCTTCTCCTGAAAAAATAGCAGATGTGAACTTACGAGCCAGCAGGGCTCTTTCTATAGACACTTATACCAGACCTGCAGCATATCCACACTCTTTGTGAATGAGAAATTGTGAACCAGATATTTTGTTTTCTCTTCAGGAGTAACCCAAACAACTCTAACGAAGCCATCATCGTGATGGGAGACACAGGCGGCAATGTGAACGCCTTCATGTTTACCTCTGCCATCATAGCACTGTTCGACAGACCCCAGCAAACCACAGGAGAAGGGCAAGGTACGCATTGATGATTTGTTGTGGAATTGTGCCTCACGGTGATGGAAATTTTACCATTAGGAGCATGTGGCCTGGTGGTTAGCTTTCATAGCCTCTGATCATAGGGTCAGGGGTTCGAACCCAGCTGGTGGCAGCATGTTGTGATCTTGGGCAAGTCACTTTTACCCCTATACGCCTCGTTCAGCCTAGGAGTAAATCGATACCTGTGAGGGCAGATACATTTATGACAGCATCTGGCTATTATACTCCCTAGGGAGGGGATTGGAGGTGGTTTCATCTTCAGGAATATGCAGATGTTGTGAACTCAATGTGCAGGGATAATGATAGCATATCGGCATCTTTGAATTGCAGATATTGTTAGATGCTGTGGGCCTTATAAATGCTTAGATATTTGATTTTATTACTAGGTTAATCATATGTTGGAGGCACTGTGTATACTTGGTTTGCTTCTTATTAAACGAGAAAAACTGTACCAGTTTTCTGGCATTGGACTTGATAACCTCCTGCCGTCAATTGCACGGGCACTTGTCCTTAATACTGCTCAAGCAGCGAGCTCGCCCATGTTGGTTGGTGGCTGGAATTAGGTCTGTCAAGTAGTCTTTTATTTGGCAGTAAACTGGTTTCATTACCAAGCAGATGACTTTCATTCAACACTGACAGCGTTACTTAATGACCATTTTATACTTCATGGTTGTGCATTACACTGTGGGTTATAAGTGGTAGGTAAATGAGGATGAAATATCATCTTTTCAGAGTTCAGGTTGTAATTTCAACGCTCGGCAGCATACTGATGTGTCCTTTTCTTTTTTGAGAATTTCAAATTTGTCTGAGAACGATTCTGCTAGGATCAACACAGCTACTGATTTTAACTTGTGTATGTTTGACACAAAAGGCTCTCAGTCGGTGAGAAACCTTGGTGGTAGCATGGTTTCTTTTTTGTTTCTTGAAGAGCAAGTTGTGAATGTGAACTTCAAACATCTGCTGAAAGACAGGTTCAAGTATTGCCGGTTAGTGCGGCATAACGGCCACCAGGAATGGGCCAGACAAGGTAAAAAAAAACGCCTGGATCTGTCTGTGTGAAAATTCTAAACAGATGACGACAAACTGTAAGATATTTGTAGAATAGCTGTGTGGCACATCTCTCATTTGACAGAGCTAGACAATTTTTTTGGGGGGGGCGCAGCGGGGAGGATTTCAGATGATGCAAGAGGGTTCCGAGCAGAAATGTCAAGGGATTGAGTTTGGATTAATCGCGATATTTATCTTTCTCCAGTGTGTCATAGTATTTTGCCAATCATCGGTGTATTTTGCTTCCCCATTATATCATTTCAAGTGGAACAATCCTAAACTTTGTATTTGCCCCTTTTTTATTCTCTGACAGTGAAATATGCTGTTCATTTAGACTGCTTCATATCCTGTTCCACCACTTACCAGAGCGCCATGGTGCTGGGCTGGATTGAGAAAGCAAGACAGAAAATGAAAACGTGAGCAAGTTACATTTATTCCAACACATAGTAACACACAGGGTAATTGGGTACCCTTTGAGGGGAAGAGATGGTTATTGTGATCGATTTCGCTGCTTTGTCCCAAAAATGGCAGCATCCAGCTGTATACCCCCCTAGGGAGCTGAGATGGTATTTGGAATGTTTCAAGGGCCCAGTTAGCAGGGGTAGTAATGATGATCAGTGCTTCAATCCCTGTTGAAGGCGATTTATAAATACCTACCTAATACCTATATTGTTATTATTATTATTATGATTATTGCGTCTTTCCTATTTTAGCGTAATTTTTATGAATCCTTGGGTGGCGATCGATTTATGTGGCCTTGATTTTCAAATATTCAGGAATTACTGAGAAACTCTGTTTGTGAGGAAAAGTGTAGGAAGCATAGTTAGCATGTGGATGATGACCAGGGAAAGGAGGCCGAGGGGTCTTAATGTGGATTGAATCAGAGGACCTTCTCCCCTATTCTACCTGTAGGATTCGGTAATTCTCATAAAGCGCGACAGACATGTGACAGGCACTTCAACACGGTTGCTGCCTTACGCCTGTCACCTATAAGCTGCATATTTGTGGGTTTCCTCAAGAAGAGAAGTGGGGCGTACTTGATGCCATAGAATGTCTACACTACTCTTGAGAATCTCTCACTGCATTTAATTTGGTTTGGCATTAGGATGCAAGAGATGCTGTTAGTTTCTGTCTGGCCTTGCGATGTCATAGCCAGGCCTTTGAGCATCTACAGCGGTATCCTTGAGTCTGTCCGTGTTTGCAAGCCTGTCCCATTTCTTTCCCTTCAGGAGTTCCTTCAACATTGCCCAGGGAGTAAATGCCTTTGACTACCACGAGGTTCTCAATCTCATCGGTAAGTTGTTTTCATTTCTTATGTTTTACAGCTGTAAAAAAAGCAGAGGCCATTTTTCTGCACCCATTGGAAACTTTTGCCAAAACTAGCCCTCGCAACTCGCTAATGAAACTGCTTTGACCTGAAAGAGTTTTGTTAATTTGAGAAGTGCTATAAGATTTAAGATTTAGTTTCTGCTTTGTTTGTCCAGCCACGGCAGGTGTCAATCACCACGTCTGTTTATGGAATCCCTACGTTGTCTCCAAGCCGGTTGGGGTAAGTAAACCTGATACCAGTATTTACAGAAAACAATCTTGAACAACTACAAGAAAGGACTATTAGAGTTATTTTTAATGTCATCCTTAAAGGATTCTTACAGAGTTTCATCTTCAATCATCAATTTATTTTAGGTCATTGATGACAGCACAAGAACAGTAAATATAAAACAGGAAGATCTGATACACTTTGATAATTTTCTCCTCGTACCTTTTCCTGCAGTTACTTGGAAGGCCACATTACACTGATATGTGTTTGCTAATAAAAGCGGTGTTTGACGTATCCCTCATTCTCCCAAAGTTCTTTGTAATTTTCTGCATATTCCAAACTCTTCCATTCATCCAGAAAATTCCTATGAAGGAATTCTCTTGGAAATGTCACTACTATTTTGGCAATGCTCTCATTAATGTAAAACTTGCCAGTTTATCTCTGAATTCAATTTCTAAACTTGTAACGTGCAGTTGCTGCGAGGTCACATGGCCCCCGTCATGCACGTGCAGTTCAACCACAGCAGGGGCCAGCTCATCAGTTTCTCCAAGGACAAAGTGTTGAGGATATGGGACGTGCAGCTCCAGGTTTGCCTGCAGAGAATTGCCGGGACGTTCCCCAAAGGACCTGACTGTAAGTGCAGTGAACATATCAAGGGTTAAAACTGGTGAAGTCCAGCTCGTTGGTTAAAAATTCTGCATAGCAAACGAAAAAGGCAGAGAAGTGTGTTGAAGTACAAATGGCTGTAAACTTTCATTTGAAAATTAATAGTCCTTCATAACACCCGTGTGCAAACAAACAATTTCCAGTTCATATGACTTGGTTTTGTCTTTGGTTTAATATGAAACAATAATCCATGACACGTCAAATAATAGTTATTTCATTGTATACAAAATAAAGGTTGAGTGTCCCTTCCCTTTAGTGACAACACACCTGTTCTTTCACGAGGAACGCAACCGTCTCTTCATGACCTTTAACTACCAGATGACCTTGCTGGAAATGAAGAAAGAGGTCAAAGACCGTGTCCTCAGCCATGAGAAGCCCATCGCCTGTGCCATCTACAGCTCTACCTTCAATCAGGTGATTCCTCCTAATCGTGACTATCTCTGATCTTTTCATGCAATGATTTTATTAGTATTGTGGACCTTGATTTCAGTCAGGACCAGAAGAGACCTTTTCAATTATCTGCCCCAGCGACATTCTAAGCTATGGGCATTTATCAACCTTTCTAGACCACTCAAGGCCTCCATGAGTTTGTATTATTGGTTCTTATTAATTTTGTTATCTTTTGTGATCGAAAAGAAAGAAACTTGGAGAAGCACGAACCCTGTTCTTTAGAAGTAAAGAAGTTAGTGCAGTTTTTGATCCTCCACGTACGGCTCTTACGAAACTTTAACCCAAAGTCATCCCGACTGTCACTGGCGTAGGTCGTCAGCGCATGCCAAGGGTCGACTGTCAACATGTGGCTGCTGGACACCGGTCAGAAGGTCAAACAGTTTATCAATTGTCATGGCAACTCAGAGATCACCACACTGGCCCTCGATCACAGTGAGACAAGGCTGTTCACTGGGAGCACGGACGGAACTGTGAAAGTAAGGACTGAAACTCTTGGAAATTTGTGCCATAAACTCTTCATTGATGGAGCAGTGCTGTACCTCCGGCATGTGTTTCTCACAATACATGCAGATATGTGGGCCAATTTTTCTTTTAATGTAGGGGACACACCCAAAATAGGATAGGTTTTCCCTCCTTCTTATCAGAATTTTGGGGACACATGGGCCAGTGGATTTTCATCAGATGCATTCCTGATCATAATCTTGAATTGTCAGGTGTATCTGCAAAATACGTCATCTAGGCCAAAGAACTGAGAGCTTTGTGTTTGTTTACAATAACTGGAATTGTTTTCCTGTTGTGCTGCGCCAGGTGTGGGATTTCAATGGTCATTGCCATCACACACTGCATGCGGGTATGGGAGAACCAGCTGACATCTCACAGATTGTGGTTCTGAAGAGAAACTTCATCATCATTGGTTGGAACAGGTACAATTTGGACAGATTCTCGATGGTGGTTGTCAAACAGTTCATATCTTGACTTGGTAAAATGTTTCATTGGTTTGGAACTTAAAGAAGAGTCTGCTTTGTATGTTAGAATCCAGTGCTCTTTTGAATTTGTACAAAGGGGATTCTGTTTATAATAAAGGTTTGCTTTGACACTTTGACAGGTGCATCACGGTCTTCAGAAATCAGCAACTCACTCAGTTCCACGTACAGCCTTCAGAATGGAAAGGGGGTCAGGTAAACGCATCTCGCCCTGTGCTATTGCAAGGCCTTCATAAAATCGTCAGTTTGTTTGACTACATGCACGTCCACTTCTTGTTCAAAAGTTTCCTTGCCTGTAACCAGATACATGGCCGGAAAAATGGGGGCCGTTCACAGTAATCGGTGCTAGATGACTCAAGTGCGCACTGCACTGTGGGAAAAAGTCAATATCGTGCAACTCCCTTTCATAGCATTGACGCATGACTCTCAATCCCAGACCTTGTACATAGGTTCATAGTGATCCTTGTCACCACTATTTCTTCGGTTCAATTTCCACTGATCTCACTTCACTGTAAATCTTGTCAACTGCAAAACGCTGTCACCAGAAAAGTGTCACACGGGTACTGATGTTAGCCTGTAGTTGGGAAACAATCTTGATAGGGATAAACGTTTGAGGTGCAATGTATTGTGAAACACTCAGTTGAAGCGCACTTGTGAAATTACACGCAACATGTCACCATGTGGGACAACAATGCCCCAATGCCACTACTTCACAATAAAATATACATCACAATACACTGGTTACAATACAATATACATCATGTTGTGTGTTGTAAAGTTACAAAAAATTTACAAACGGCCGTTCGGCAGTATTGTATCTATATTGCGTGGATACACATGACTTTTTCTCATGGCGTGATTCACCAAATACTTGTGACACGACAATTTTTAGGAGCACCACGATGACATTTTGGCCGCTGCCTTCTCGGCCCCTCACACCCTGGCCACGGCGAGCTACGACGGAGAAATCATCATATGGAACTCGGGGTCAGAGGTCGCATCCAGGCGACTCCGCCAGCGGTACCTGAAGAAAGGAGTCAAGTCCAGAGCCGGGACACGATTGGTATTAAAGCTTCAGCTCCTTCTTAAGGCACAGTTTTCATAAAAAGAGCACACATCCCTCGCCATGCGGAAAACATCCCTCCCTGAAAAAGAGATGCATCTGTAAAAGGAAGATTCGAATCTGAGACTTCGAGATAGTTTTTAATTTGATCAACCAACTAGACTAGCAGGCTATGAAGTGTTATCTTCCCTGCCTTTGTGATGGAATATCCCCAGAACTTAACAGTGAGAGAAGTCAGCATTGCTAGTTTGGCGTAACTGTCTATGCGAGCCAAATACATTTGCGGGGTTAACAAATTTTACAAAATGACATCCAAGGTTTCTGACCGAATGGAAGGAAAAGGTCCTGTTCTGAATTTCATTGTAGAAGTCTTAAAAAAATTCTTGTTAGCAGTGGCATATTTCCCTGAACTGCAGTCATTAACTTTACAAAGCACTTGTCCTTTCCATTTTTACTGGAACAGGTTTACAGAATTGCATGAACTCTCCATATTTTTACAACCATAAAAAGGAGCTACTGACACAAAAATCACAAATGGTCCAGGGCGCTGCTTCAATTTGTGACTTCCTACCTACATTCGTAGATACTGTTCCTGAATAATCTTGCAAAGGTCTTCTGGTTTTAGCCAATTTAGATTTTCCAGTATTCTGGTAAGGTTGTTATTTTCCTGTGTCTAATCAGGGTTTGAAGAAAGAAGGCACTACCCTCTCAGTCACGCCATCTCAGCCGTCTGCATCCCCTCATCAGCTAGAATCCCAGAGCCTGGCCTCGGCACTGTCCAGGCCTCCCGGCCCAGGGGAGAGCACGGAGGGGATCAAGCCGCAAAGACCCCACTCCAGGGGTAGCGATGCTAGCGAGGATGAGCAGGTGCGCAGGGCCGTATCATAAACCCAAACTTCAGCTGTGTCTCCATCCATAACCCATTGAGAAGCTTGAGCAGTTTCCATTTAATACATCCATATTGTATAAATGTGTGTAGATGAACTGACAGGCTCCCTAGTTAGCTGCTTATGGTTGGGAAGAGGAGCTGGGAGCCAGACTCTGAAAGGAAAGCAAAACTTTGAGAAAGGCCCAAGGATTCCTTACTTATCTGACTTTTAAAATTAAGGCCGGAGTTTCATAGACACAATACACTGGATGCAATTTTTACTTCCATTCAAGGGAAGTCTTGATACGCTGAGCTTGCAGAGCACCATCTAAAAAGTTGAAGTCAAGACATATTTGACTCAGCTCCCTGGGAAGATCAATAGAATGCGGCATGCGCATCTAAATAGCATGTACTTTTTCCTTTCTTGTCCCTCAGAATGATTTCATCATCACTCGACTGGTTTTCCTGGATGCGAGGAAGGGGCAGTCGGCCTCCGGGGGTGCCAACCTGGTATCCTGCGGCGGGAATGGTTGGGTCCGATTCTGGAACACTGCCAAGAACTCACTATTGGCCGAGTACATAGCACACAAACATGGTAGGGATTTGTTTTGGATGAGCTGCGTCCTGTTCCAAAATCAGCATTATGTGATTCAATACATCCGTGTAAAATTGCAAGTCTCGTTTCCTTTTAGGGTAATAAAATATTCAAATAGTGTTCAACATCAGAGGCAAAGAAACCCACCATTTCCCATCACAAAGAGACCCCAAACCAAATGAAATGGATTGAATTCTTCACAAGGATCGTTGTTGATAAGCTCAATAAACCTGCATCATAATGGCATCACACTTTGTTTACATGTGCGCATTACTGCGGGGGCTCAATGGATCGTGTCCTGACTGATGAGCCACCTCACTGCCATAGGAGAGCATGCATGTAAACAAAGTGTGATGCCATTATGTTGGGTCTAATTATTGCTTATAATGTTAAGAATTATGTGGAAAGTGTTCATCAACAGTACTTTTGCTTATATTTGACAAAATTTTTGCAAAATCGATGTAATGATTCCCTGTTTGGCACTTTCATTATATTTTTATTTTTTTTAAAAATATTTGTACGCCTGTTTGGATGCAGTGTCATTTGTCGTCATGGCTGTGAGCGAAAACAACCACACTTTGGTGACAGGAGACACAGACGGTGCCATCAAAGTCTGGAATATCCAGGAGTACTGCATGCTTCAGCCAGAGACTATCGTCACAGAACCACCACGTACGTTGAATCCAGGTTGTATCTTATAAAAAACCGTCACTAGCACAAATCCTTTCGTAAAGCCATTGTCACAAGTAACAGGGTTAACAGGGTGCAAAAAACAGTGGAATACTTTTGTCGCAGTTCACTTGTAATGGAATGCTGTCGTTCATTTAAATTCTTTGTGATTTTGCTGATGACCGGTGCCTTGTGATGGAAGTTAGGGATTTGTAGGGACTTGTGATGGACTAGACTACCATTCTGCTTCACAAGTTGCTCCCAAGTGGTAACTGGTACCCTTGTCACAATGCAAGCCACAAGCTATGCCACTTGGGCACCATTAACAGTGAAAGTGCTTGTGAGAATTTTGCGATGACTGGCTATACATTTACAAAATAAGACAACAGAGCTAGATCATTCATAAGACCAGCAACACTATCTTTCAGAAGACTGGTTACAAGACCAGACACAAGACCAATTGCATGAACAGTCATAAGACCAGACACAAGACCAATTGCCCGATCAGTCATTAGACCAAACACAAGACCAATTGCCTGATCAGTCATAAGACTGAACACAAGACCAATTGCATGATCAGTCATTAGACCAGACACTAGACAAATTGTATGATCAGTCATTAGACTGAACACAAGACCAATTGTATAATCAGTCGTTAGACAAGACCAATTGCCTGATCAGTCATTACACCAGACACAA